TAGTGTATATATGTATATATATCACAAATGTAATATATATATATGTATGCTGTACCTATATATATATATATATATGTATGTATGTATATGTATATTGGGATCTGTAGAGAATTGCCTAAGACTTCGTGCGTGGAAGGAAGTGACGAATAGCATAATAAATGAATTAAACATAATGAATAAATTGAATATATTAAAAATAATAAATAAATTAAATATATTAAATATAATAAATACAATAAATACAATAAAAAAATAAAAACAAATAATAAAAATAAAATAAATAGTTCTCCGCTTCCTGCTGAGACCTGTCCGTACACCGGGAGCAAATTTTCGTGTATTTGTCGGTTCATTTGTTGTTTTTTTGTTGTTAATTTGTTTTTATTTGTTTTATTAATTTAAATTTAATAATTATTTTGAAAATGAGCGTAGATATTTTAGCAGAGACAGGAGAGACATCTTTGCTGCGCTGTTTCTTCTTTTCTGAAAATTGATGCTTTTGTATTATTTCTTTCATTAAATAAGAAGAAATAAGTTAAATAATTAATTTATTTTAATTATTTTATTTATTTTAAATGATTAAACCGCTATTTCTTTGCATTTTCTCTCCTTTTATCTCTCTTAACAGCTCCCTGGATGAACGGGTGTTGCTGCTTAAAGCCCTAAGGAAGGGTTGGGTCTGCTCTTAGTATTGAAGAAGGGGGAGGTAATCCGAAGAAAAGATGAATTGTTTATTATTTATAAATTAATTAATTCTTTTTGATTATTTTTTCATTATTTTGCTTCTTTGCCTCCTTTAAATAAACACAGCAGCTGCTGCTGGGGGTTTGCTGCTTTTCTTCTTCTTCTGAGGGATAAATAATGCAAAAGATTTGCCTAAATTGATATAAAATTAAAAATAAACAAAAAAATTAATATTTAGAAAATATCAAAACTCAAACTGCTGCTGTTGCTGCGGTGTACGTACAGCAGCTCAATAGACACCCAATATGGTGGAGGGGGCCCTGCAGCATTAATTTTAATTTTTTTTGTTTTTTTTCTGCATATATTATAATTTATTGTCTTCAACAGCAGCCCAGACAAACCATTAAAGAGAAGCAAAGGGGCTGAAGTAAAATGATATAAAAAACACCCTTATTGTCTTTAAATTTCTTTCTTATTTTACTGCTAACTAAGCGGCCTTCTGCTGTACATACACTGCGAATGCCAGGGCCTAGCTGGCTGTCCTCTCTGCAGCTGCTGCTGCAGCCCTTCGCTCCCTCTCTTATAAGAAAGCGCAAGGCAGAAACCCCAGCACCAAGCAGCAGCAGCAGCAGCAACAGCAGCAGCAGCAACAGCAGCAGCAGCAAC